CAAACAAACAAACAAACAAATGTATAATAAGTATGTTTAAAAATGTATTTTTGAACAAAACATTTATGATATTTTCTTTATTACTTACCAGCCATAACCCATAGAAGTTTAGTAAATTTACTTTTAAAATGTTTTGATAAAAGTCATCAAATGAAAAGGATGAAAAATGATTCAATTAGATTTATTTTTTAATTTGTTTGTTTGCAGTTAGGCACAAAGCTAAGCAAAGGGCTATCTGTGCTCTGCCCACCATGGGTATCGAAACCCGGTTTCTAGCATTGTAATTCTGTAGACGTACCAATGTGCCACTAGGGGGCATTATTTCATTTAAATTTGATAAAACAACTAGAAGGCATTGCTGAATGAGCTATTTCCTAACAATCATTGACATATTAAAAGTGGATTATTGTTCTTAGTTGTATTCAAAATGTTTGAAACAATGAAACTCGTGTCTCGGGAATTACTATATATTTGTCTCTCTTACTATAGATTTACAAAAATAAATTGCTGGAATGAATACTTACAAATTTGGTACAAATACCCTAGAATGGCAGTACTCAAACTATGGATGCCTTAGTAAATTTCATGGCCCAGTAAACTTGAGTTCTGACTCCAATACCTCTTTTTAACTTTTTTTTTTCTTTTTTAAGAAAAATATATTTTTATTTTGTAAGGTCAGGCTATGTCAAACCTTACCTTGTTAAACAGTTATTAGTCAGCATAGGGGGTATTACTTCATGTATACCATTTTTATGTTTCAGAAATTCACACTTGTATGATGTGTAGCTCAGTGAACTGAGATTGTTATCCTGTTCAGTTTTTTTAACTATAGTTTAGTGCTAAGTAATATGTTACTGTGGTTAGTTAGCCAGTAAATATGTACCAGCCTGTAAGATATTTTTTTGGGTTAGATTAGAGTCTGCATTGTCATTATTTTTTGCTTATACATATGTGTGTTTTTATTGTGTTGATGTAAAATCGCGATGAAAGTTTATATAACAATATAGGTAGTGATTTTTCACAAGTGATGTTTTTGTTTATAGACCTCAACCTTCCTCCTCTTCCTGAACATTGGATAAGCCAGTCACATTTCTCATCACCATCAAATGAGGTTAGCAGAACAATAAGTCAAGAAAGTGATGATAGAAGCATACAGCCTCAGATTGATGAACTTTCTACATCAAGAGCTTTAGTGTCTAATGAGGAAGATCATGAACAAACTTCAAATGAACTCCTCAATAAATATACTCACAGCATAAATAGAAGTTTTCAGTATCATAAAGTTAAAGCACAAAATATTCATCAAAGTGAACACTGTGAAGCCCCAGAAATCAATAAATCTGACATGCCTGTTGCTCCGAGTTCAAATACTCAGTTATCAACATCCCAGAATAATAATAGAAAAAGAGAAAATCCTTCTGATTCTCATGAGGATGATATGATGACCAAAATTAGAAAAGAACTCAATATTTCTCTACTAGATGAAGAAGAAGAAGACCATGAGCCTGATCTGGGTCATATAGACTTTGAATTTGAACCACCTGTGATTCGAAGAGAAGAAGCTCGAGAAAAAGCAATCATTAAATCATTTAGTGGCTTAGAGAGGGATCTAAACCTCGATTATGATTTCCCAGTTGTAAATGGCACCTGGCCTGTTTCTTATTCTGACTCTAGAAATAAGCATGTAACACAAAGAGATTCAGGGATGGAAAGTATTTTAACGAGTCATGATAATGAACCAGAACTGGATCTGTCGGGCATTGAAGGACTGGATGGTTTTGAAGACCATCACAATGACCTGCATAATGGACTGTCGTCAGAAATTGATGATGTGTCTCTGGACGGAGAGTTGACTTATGAAAAGTTACGGCATCACGATCAGCGGACTAGTAGTGGTCATATAGGGTTTAATGAAATTCCTTCCCATACTAGTAGAGACGAAACTGATGAGTTAAATGCTCAAGTGCAGAGTGCCATTAAAAGTATTTTAGATCTTCAATCATCAGAAAGTCGTTCCTATTGCAGTGATGGTGATGGTGAATTTATTTCTCATGTGTACCGCCTAGAAGGACTCGATGCACAGAGAGACCAAACTCTTACCAACTATGAGGTCAATCTATCCTGTGACGTGGAGTTAGCAAATGAATCTGATGCAGCAATAGATGAAGCGGTTCAGAGTATACTGTTTTAATGCCTTATTGTGTAATTCTGTGAGGACTTCCTTTTTTGCCTTCCTCTAGTCAGAATACAAATCAGTTTTAATGTACAGTTGTTTGCTTTTCTGTTTCTTTGCCTCTGTATTAACCTCGCTGATACTTTGTACCATCTAGTCAGACAGCAGGATGTTAAACTGCAATTTTTTAATTGTATTTCTTCATTATTTTTCAGAATCTGGGCATTGTCAGTAACGCATACAAAATTTTTTTCCAGTTGCAGAATTACATTTGCTTAATAGAAAAACATGTAATCTGAGTGCATTCTTTATTTTATTTTTTAACTTCTAATTATATTTTTATACTTTCAAGAACAAAACATTAATTAACTTAGCAGTATTTTTAATCTTTATTTATTCACCTTATTTTATGGCTTTGAACTCTATTTGTCCATGCTTTAATTTTCTGATGACAGATATTATAAGTTTGTGTTTAAAGTACTTATTGAAATCATGTGTTATTTTATTTTTCGGTAATAGCTTTTCAAGTTTTTGATATTACCTTGGATTAACATTAAGCAGTACATACATTGCTTTACTGATAGATTCTAGAGGATAATGTAAGTATTAAATGTTATTATGCCAAATACGATTTTAAAAATGTAAAAGTAGAAAATGAGTGTTTTGGTATTTGGAGTTTATCCCCAACATTTTTATTTAAACTAGGGTAACCCTTTATAATTCTTTAGTACATGAACAGTTTCATATTTTGGACAGGGGGGGGGGGTAAATAGAAGACAAAAAAGAAGTGTAAATACTGGAAAGCAAAAAAATATAAGTTGGTGATAATTTTAAGTTGTTGAGTATATATGTTTTATATGATTTCAGATAAAATTGTGGTTGTAACAGAAATGTATCAAAACATCTCCATTACATGTTGTAGAAGCTTTTGTGTTGTTTATACTTGTAGCAATCACTCTTTCATTTTTTTACAGACGTTGTTAATATGAAATATTTTTTGTCAAGTGTCGAAAATTGCAAATAACATTCACAGAGTGAACAACTCGAAACACTAGTAAATCTGTAATGTGGAAATGTGTGTATAGCATATTCAAGATTTTGTAGGAAACTGGAAAAAAAAAGTTTTTTTTACTTTCTTAAATTGCATTCCTTCTATATTTTAAGTTAATCCGAAACAAGAAATGCTCAAAGCATTCACATATTTGTATATATTTTGAATTAATAATTGAACATTTCTATCCATTTAAGTACTGTTATAATGTTCCAGATTGAACTATGAACCATTTTTGGTTGTGTTTTTTTTTTTATGAGCTGATGTATGTTTTACTCAGATCAATGATCCTTTAGATTTGCATTAACTTTTAAGGCATGTTTTGCTCTTCAAAAACTCTTAACGACTGTTAATCAGTCGTTGCCTAGTGAGTCATTTAAATTATGCATACTATTAGTAAACCTTCAGTAACTGTTATAAAGGGAAGTTATTTTATCTTATGCACTAACTATATTTAAATATGAGTAGTTAAAAGTCTTCTTTGATTTTAGCTTTTATGCAGTTTTTCTTAGTCTGAACAGCGTGATAAATAAATGATAAGTAGCACTGTTAGTAACTTTACTTTATTAATGCCACAAAATTGTTCAACTTATTTTAATGATAAATTTCTCCTCTTTTAGTCTCATATTTCTGTGCATGATTTTGAATGTAAATAATGCAAGATTAGAATAAGCTGTTTCTGGTTATAAACTTTCTGTCACATTCTGTTTATTTTAATTATTATTTAATAACTAAAGCTCTAAAACACATTAGTAAAATGTGTATTAAGTTGAAAGAGTCAACAGTTAACACACTTTTTTTTTCCAAGTTCATTTGTCTTAACCCAAATTTTTCTTGTGCATAAATATATTCCTAACTGGGGGAAATTGTTTATTAATTTACATCTCTTACTTATTATTAATGAAGGGACACCCTTCTTGTGTTAAGCGTACTTATTTTTGTTAGTTTCTATACAATTTTACCTCAACTTAGTTTAATTGATATTTTTCTGTCCATACTTAACAGTGCCAGTGGTTTGTTCTGATTTAAATTTCAAAAGGGCAGAATGTGTTTCAGATATAAAAACAAAGATTTTATGAGCAAAAAATAATAATAAAATCAGTAGAAAAGAGAGATACATTTAGGTTTGTTAAAGTTTATATTTCATTTCTAGCGTGTTTTTATTTGGGTTGCTTTAGTTTTTCAGACTGAAAGATTACATTATGTATTGAATAAAAAACTTCTTTAGGTTAGTTCTAAAAACTACATTGTTTTAATTAAGCTCAAATCCTAAACTTGCTCGTGCTACTCAGGAGTCCTTATGCAAAATATTGTATGGAAAGAATTTTTCATTTCTGTTCATACAATGACACAGTGTGTTAAGTTATGCATGATTATAAAAATCTTAATGGCTATTTGGTTCATGAACAACAGTATGTGAGGTTGGGTTGTGGTTATAGGTTGTGGTGTAAATACAGTTAAACAGAACTTATATTTTTATCTTTTGTTTTCAAATCATAATAGGGGTAAAATGTTAATTATTCTGACTCATACTGTAGTTATTGATCTTTTAAATTTGTTTTGTTGGATAGTTATGTATGATTTTGATCTATAGGAACTTAAGTGACAGTAGTGAACAATACTAGCAAAGATAGAGTAAGGTTTCTTTATTATAATCACTAATTTTGATATTACCACATCAAGAAAATGAAAATACCTACATTATGCTTTTAAATAAGAGAAATTTATTTGAAGAATGAAGAAAGGTTGTGATGTATAATTGAGGTATGTATAAGACAAAACAAAAATGTTTTTGTCTTGATATCTTTTTTCTTTTTTTTAATCTAATACTTTATGGTAGATATTGATTTAAAACTGATTATCAAATTATGCTTTTTTTATAATTTTGTACTGTGGCTCTTGATGTATTATTTAGTATCATGTTGTTGGGATTATGGATAATTCTTTTATATTTTTAATGTGTAACCTTATTAGAAAAAACATGCTTCATGACTCACTTTCTTGTGACCAGTATTTTGCTTGGATTTTTGTTATTTCTTTCCTCTGAAAAGTGATTAAAGGAAGGCAAAAAAGGTGATTTTTACAGTTATTTTTCATTAATTCAAAATAAAGTATTTATTTTTCTCAAATGAAATTTGGGTGAATTAGACCAGTTAGTGTTAACATACCTAGGTGAAAAAACAACAAATGTTCTGCTGCTGGTATTTCTCATCCAATTTAATTTTGTATTTTTATTTTACATTAATTAACAGTAAAATTATTCAAAAAAAAATCACAGAAAGGTGTTTGGAAATTCTTACAGGAAAAATAAATAATACATGTATAATTATATGGATCCAAGTAGTAAACAAAACTTAATTAGCGAAACTAGTCGTATTATTATATTTTTAAATAAGAATTAAATATAGGAAATAACAATGGCATAAAGATGAGGTAAATGGAAAGTTAAGAAATTGTATAACAGGTATGAATAAAAATGAAAATAGTTGTGTGCAAGATATAGTGTTAAAAAATTTCATCAAAAATAGCAGTATTGTTTTCGTAAGTAAGCACAGTTAATACAGCCAATGAAACTTCAGTTTAGAGCAGGTATGGTTGAACAACAGTTTCTTATTGTAGACCATAAAGCGACATTTCTATAAAAATCATTTCAATGACGATGGAAGAAACAATAAGTTTGTAATGCCACTACAAGTATTTTCTGAGGATGATTTCCAGTTAAAATTTCTACTAGTAGATAGCATTTTGTTTCAGGGTTAATGGAGTGTGTTTATATTGTCCTGAGAAATAGAGAGCCTATGAATATGCAAGGAAACGAAAGCCATTTACTTTGTGAGGCCAATTATGTTCATTAAAATTAATAACTTGGGTAACATTGTTTACTTCCTGTTATTGAATTTTAAAAATTGAAGTTTATTATATGCAGTTTTTTTTTTCGTTGTTGTCCTAAAGTGAAATTAAAACTGGTGGGTCCAGCCCCAATTAGTATCCGGACTGTGATGTGTACTGCTTAATTAAGACGTGGATCTACGTGTCTTTCAAATCTGTAAATACACACCTTGTTCTTAGCATAAACGGGTGAGGTTAGTATTTTGAGCAGTTAACAAGCAGACATAATTACTAAATGTTTAATTCAGTAATTTCTCGCTAGGGTTGAACTTCCAGGAATTTGTGAAAATTGTATAGAGAATGAATGTGCATTTTTTTACTAAATTTGTGTAAATATTTTAATAAAACATTTCTCAAACTGACTGTTTTGTAAGGAATGTGTTTATTATTTCAATGAAAATATTCATACTCAAATGTTATATTATCTGTACCAGATTTAAACGGAAGAAGATATTAAAAAGAGTTCGTTCATATGAAATGATGTATAAACTTATTTTGTGCACGTTGTTCTGTATTATAGATAATTTTTTATGCAGATCCATCACTCATCAGCAATGGTGCGTCTAGACTTGAATATTTTCTAATGATTTTGATCAGCTTTAAGTTCTGGAAACAAATTTAAACATATTACTTACTGCAAGATTGTGGCGATCAGATATTAATCATTGTCGTGGTTGGTAACCAAAACGCACAACCAAGTGTACTTATTAATAAGTAATACACATAAGTATATATTATTATGGTATAGGCAGGGGCCTAGCATTTTGAGATATTGCGCATGTGCCGAATATCTATGTAACAAAATAAAAAAAGCAGTAGCCATTTTAGCTCATTAAGTAGTATGCATTTCTAGTGAGCTTTGGAATATCTCACTGCCGAGCCTCTGAACAGGCCCCGAGGCAGCTGCCTACCCCTCTGAAGTCTAGGGGGATCGCAGCTACTCAACAGCATTCACCGCCAATTCTTGGGCCAATATTATCTGACCGAATAATGAGATTTGACCGTCACTTTTATAATGCACTGACAGCCGTAAGTGTGGAACGCAGTTTTGCGGCAACGATTCGCGTACCATAAACCCTCGAATTCACAACCAATCATTATGCCACGACCGACCCACATTATACAGCAATTTGGTAATATATGTCATTACCACTAAATCCGTTTTCTAGTTACTTATGTGAATACAAATACATATATAAATATTTTTGTTAGCTTACTCTCGATTGTTAATGCGACTCTAACTTTAAACCATTATATGAAAAAAGTCTGCGTGCAACTGCTTATAACTAGCGGAATCACTGGACCGATTGTTACCAAACTTGGCAAGTAACCATTAGGGCACCCTGGAGAGTGACATAATGGGGCCGGGTTTTGGAACTGACCTCCCTGTGTTTTCCCCGTGCACTGGACCGATCGTCAAAAAAACAACAACAAACAAACACCTGACCAGGGTTATTGACAATGGGTGGAATTCCCGAAATCTGTATAACTTCAGGACAAGTGGGAAAACGAATGCTTGGGAATTCAACTATATGTTTAATACTTTTACGAAATTATTATTTTGTCGGTTGAAAGAAAAAAAAGAAAAATTTTTCTTTATGAATGTGCAGTAACAACAAAAATATAACCGATCTTGAATTACGTAGATTAGAACAGTTTTAATCGAACTACAATAACATCAGTGAAAGACGAGACAAAGTCAACGTGTGCAGCTGAAACAGACAAATATTGTAGGATTGCCTCCCTTTGTTAGTTAAGCTATAATTCCGACGATTCTAACACCACCAGCTTTCTCGTTCTATAATTGTAGCAACCACCAACTAGCTGCTCGTGACTGAGGTGAAAGGTAAACGATGCAACGCTTATTCGTCTGCCCACAGATCCAGTTCCTACGCACAGCAGAAGACCTCGCTGAAGCCAGTGGAGAAGCAGTCAGATGTGCATAGATACAAGTTTTGACATTTTTCACGTGTTTTCTTCAATCCAACGTGAAAGTGTCGAAATAATGACTTACAAAACTTATGAACGAGTTTAGAAGCTGGAGATAAATATTCGAAGAAATGAGATAAAAAATGTTGAGCCTTAATGTAGCATTCACTAACCTCACCTTTCCTGTATTTTTCAGGCACTTAGATACTCATTACATAGAGAGAACACCCAGTGTTTACAGTACAGAATAAAATTTAAAACAAGAGGGAATCCTCAATAGCCGCGGCTGTAATTAGATCTCAAATCGGCCAAGAGATGGAGCTATGAGCTTAAAATTTTGTACTTGAAAAAAAAAAACAAACTCAGAGCCAGTATATGAGCCGCTATAACGCAGCTAACAAGAGGGAATCTTCGATAGTCGCGACACTTGAAATTCTGTTAGGCAGGATTAGAGTAAATTAAGCTATGAGACCTTTTTTTTTTTTTTTTTTTTTTTTTTTTAGCTATTTTTTTGGGCGCTAGCAATACTAAGCCTGGGGGGGGGATACCCGATTCGATTT